AATAAATGCATTTTATTTATTTTATTTTTAATGAAAAATTAATTTTATTATAATTAAAATGATAAATATATCATTAAAATTTTGTATTATATATTTTTCCATTAATAAAAGAAGATCTCAATTCATCATAAGTGTATCTGACATTCTATTTTGATTCATCCCCTTTTAAATTCAACTCACAAATTTATTGTAGAATTCATTTTAACCCTCATCTAAGAAATTCACTAATGGTATTTTTTATTTTTTTCTCGATAAAAGTGAGGGATAAAGTTTTATGTGTTGGTATATTACATGTTCCCACATCCCCCTTATTATGAGATTGGGGCTCCATATTATAACTCTTTTTTGGACTAAATATCATGTCCTACACTTTGAAGACATTTAAACTTAATTGAGTAGATTTAATTTAGAGTCGTGTTAGGTTTTCTAATTGCCATTGACACCCCTAAATTTCAATGGAAATTTTGTTACCCACCGAAATGTAATACCTTATATCTTATTCATTTTAATTAGTTAGAAAATGTTAAATTTCTTGATATTTAAATCAATTAATTTTAAACTATATTTTGTTTGATCAATCATTTCCCAATGTAAGTTGGTTGTCCAAAATAATCCAACATTATGGCTACCACTTTCTATTTAATGGATCCTATATAAAATCCATCTAAAAAAATAAAATAAAAATCTTCTTAAACAAGGTAAAGCAAAATAATAGATTTTTAGTAAACTTGCACCAACTTTATCAGGAAATGTAACAAAAAGCAATTATAGGTTAAAATCTTTCTTTCCTTGAGTATAATGAATCATAGAAAAAATGAACTTACCATAAAAATGTCTTAAAACATGATGGAAGATTTAAACTTAAACTTAATGACATACTTAGCCCTTTAACATGGGAACAAATATATTTTGTCCCAACAATAATAATGAACATTTAAATTTCTAATTGAAATAACTTCTTTTTACTAGCTAGAATCAGAATTTAAGATATGATACCCGAAGCGTATTCTTTAACACAAACCTCAAGTTATTAAAGACATCTAAACTTCTTTTCCCTTGCATTTTGTTAACTTATTTCTTAAAATCAAAACTATAGTTAAAACTTAATCTCTCTTCTCTCTGCAAAAAACTTGCCAGTAATAGCTTGATCAGGTAAAAGAGCAAGCCATACACCAGTATCAGCCCCTTCCTCAACTGTGACACTTCCTGCATAACCTGTAAGAGCAGTTTTGACCCAACCAGGACAATAACAGTTAATATAAATCTTTTGATCTTCTTCTCTTTCAGAAAGTTTCTTTGCCATAAACCTTGTATAAGCATTAACTACAAGTTTTGAAACTGAGTAATCAGTAAATGTTTGAGGCCACCCTCCTGATACCCATGTTCCATCTTCTACTTGTTGTAGAAAAGTTGATACTGCTCCATCAATCACTTCTTCTGAAAGTGATTCTACATCACTTAGTTGCTCCCTCATAGCTTCATTTTCTATTCTCTGTATTAATCCATCAACTTATAATCAGTTTTATATATATGTGTGTGTCTACTAAAAAGCACTGCATGGGGATTGTATGGATTCTTCAAATTAGGTAAAGGCTAGGGATAAAACCCCATAAAGTCTAAAACCAAATTAGGTAAAGTTTTAGGGATAAAAACATATATTAATTAGGGATAACAATCAAAACTGAATCTACAAGTACCAACCCGAATTTAATGGGGAAAACCTCAGGTTCGGGTTTTATCCGGGTTCAATTTTTGTGTTTAGGTTTGGTACATATGATATTCTATCATGAACCTAATTAATATATGTAAAATATAGAAATTTGACATATATATAGAACCTATATATATATATATATAAATATATGTTTCGGTCAGATTTTTATCGGGTTCGAGTTATCCGAAACCTAATAAGATTGGGATGATATTAGTATTTTCAATACCGCTTAATTCAAGTTCGGGTTTTGGATTTCAAATTCAAGATTGGGTAAACACAAACTCAATCCCGACCTATCTCGTTGGTAATATGAATCCTTTGGTAACCAACTACTTCATCATATCATATGGAGTAAGATTTGAAAAACAAAATATAAATGAAAGTCTCATCGAAAAAAGAAATACAATGGATCAAAGATATTATGCATAAATACATTCAAAATTATGCAAATAAAAAAAGTTTACTTTATCCCAAAAGAAATTAATATATGACCCCAATAAAAGTGTGTGTATTTACTGAGATATGAAATGAAAGGAATATAAGAATATGTACTTACATTTCGTTTGCCATTTAGTCGACCTAAACGTGAGCTCACATTTACAATACGACCTCCATGAGAAGATGGTTTCATCAATGGAATCATAGCTTCAGTCATACTCTTAGTACCAAAATAATTTGTTTCAATAACATTACGAGCATTTTCAACAGAGTTATGTGACCCATGATTGAAATTAACACCAGCATTATTCACCTGCACATAAATATCATTAGAGCATGCTTAAAAAATGTTATCTATCTATATATCTATATACTAATATAAAGGGAAAACATGTTATAACTACTAAGATTGTGTAATTTTTAATTTCTCATATTGCACTTACTAATAACTATACTTCAATAACAAAAAATATTTATTTTCTCTCCCAACTCCATTTTTCATGGCAGTTACATTTCATCTATCATAAAATCTGAGCAAGCCAACCAATTTTTTAGAGTTGCATAAATAAATAAAATATAGTCTCAAGATTGAACAATTACCTCAATCGAATATATTCAACTGCAGATTATAATATATTTATTACATGTAGACTATACATTACAAACGATAGGAAAACGGGTCAACACCTATTAGTTATAGGATACATTCCAAAAAGTAATTAAAATTCAAATGCAATAATAAGATTATAAGGAAGTAGTTATTATGTATTAGAAACTGACCAGAATATCTAAACCACCATAATTTTCCTTCAACCACTCAGAGAATTGAATGATGGAAGAAGGTTCTAATATATCAAGTTGATGACAATTGACATGTTCCATACCACCTTCTTGTAAGACCTTAATTGATTCAACACCAACACTAGCATCTCTTGATGTTACTATAACAGTTACTCCATGATCAGCAAGTTGTCTTGATATCTCAAACCCAATTCCTCTATTTCCACCAGTAACCACAGCAATTGTTTCCTTAGACCACCACCTATTATATCAATACCCAAATGCACTAAATTATTACATTTTTTTCAAATATGACTCATATTTCAAAACCATATATAGATTAATAAATATGGTGTAAAGTCAGGCATTTCATTTAAATCATTTGTTAAAATAAAATGTATGATTTGACTATGTTTTAGAAGTGGAAAAATGTGATGGTTGTGTTTGATTATACATAATAACATTTTGATAAAAAATAAGTCACTTTTATACAAATTTTGTAATTTTAAATGAAAACTATTTGATATGACCATTTTTAACCGATTTTAGCTAGTTTTGAATCGCGTAATTGAATGACCGATTGTTATGGTGTATCGATACCAGGAGAAGTTCACCACTATTTTCATAATGATGCTTTTTGTATCAAGATATTCATATAATTTCACTACCAAATGATAAAATAAAAAATAAGAATACACTAATTGTTCACATCCTTTATCCATTATTATAGCATATGAGCCATGTTCTAAAATGTGTACAACTCAATATATCTATTGCTCTTCTTTAGTCATAAAATAAAAAACTAATATATATTTAATTTTTGTTTTATTTATTGACCAATAAAAAATAATGGGCACGTGAAGTAGTACACATTTTGGGATGTAATACATGTGGCCTTAACTTCTATGTTGTACAAACCAAACATTTTTCAATCTACAACATAAAATGTTAAAAATTCCAAAGAACTACATGAGAAAATATGTGTATGTATATATAATCAAACCTTTGATGATCTGCATAAGGAATGGTCCTCAAAAGCGATATCTCTTGCAATCTCTTTTCTTTTCTCTCTTTTGATTTTTCTTTGTGACCCATAACTCTATCTATTTGTGGTTTTGGAAACTATGAAGCTAGAAAAGAAGCTTGAATTCTTGGAGGTTAGGATATTAAGAATAATGGCAGAACATTAAAGGAAATGTAGCTTGTATCAAATAATTACTCCGCATGAAAAGGAACAAATAGGTTCCCAAACATGCCACGTTGTTGGTCAAAGCACTTATTTTGGTATATCGTCAATGCATAGAACTAAACTTTAGGTAAGAAAATCAACAACTTTTTGTTTTAGTATTTTTAAGCCCTCCAAAATTATTGGTTAACTCGTTTTTAGCATGTGAATTGCATGGTTGTTAATTTTATTTACTTATCATTAATATAAATAATATTTACGACATTGCGTTGGTCTGGTTGTGTAAGGTTCCGCTAGATTCATATGATGATCAAAATATCAATGATTCGATTCATTTGAGCGATATTTGTTGGGAAAAACATCCCGAAATAGATTAGTTCATTACCCAAAATGTGAGGAATACACTTGGTAGTACAAAAAATAATATTTTTTGTTTAACAAATGAAATATAAAAAATGAAATAAAATTATTAATTTTTTTATATTGCAGACTTCAGGAAAGTTTTAATTTAAAGATATAATTACGTATCAAATAATTGCTCATATTCTAGTTTGTATTTTTGTGTTGTTATATCTTTAGTTAATTTAGTAACATTTTTTCCTATAAGATTGAAATCTAAATATTGCATGATTAACATTGAATATTGACTATGTTCATTTGAGATATTATTATACATTAAATACCTAAAGTAGTTAACATTTGACGATTGATTTCTGTACATGTGGCATGTGTCACATCTGAGAGTGAGTGATGGATAGATGATAAAATTCTCAATTTTTCGGCATGATAATACGTATTGCATAAAATTTAATTAAAGAATAATATGTATGGTAATACAAATTTTGGAAAACTTCTTTATAAATCACATTTGTTGTTGTAAAAACATGAACAGCTGGATTCAAACCTGTGTGGGCGTGGGCATAGTCCACATGATTTCTAGTCATGCCCAATAACCACTCCGGCACGTCCACTTGTTTGCTTTCTCTTGGAAAATTATAAACTATGTAAATTGCGAGTAAAATATCAATTGTTTATAAAGTTATAATTAATTTATATTGATATAATATACTATATTTTTTTTAGAAATTGGCATGCATGCAACATTGCTTATCATTGTTTTATGCCGGTGAACTTCCTGACAATATGTTAATAGCGTTATTAAAGAAGCCCACATCTTCATTCTTCTTTTTTATAGTGGATTGAGAGTAGACTTGACCTAGCTTCTATTATAGCATCTCATTACATGATGAAATCACTAGACATTGTGTGTCACTCCAGGGTAACTTGATTAGGCAAAAAGTATTAATTTGCTAAACATTCAATTAAACTTATTATATTTTAGCCAATCACAATACCCTTAACATATGAATTTGTATAAAATTAAGAAAAAACATATTTAATTCTATCATTGTGGTACATCCTAAAGAGACATACGCACCTGTGGTGGTGCCAGGACTGTAACTCGTTAGAGACTGTTATAAGTCCCATTAATTTACCGTTTTGTATTATAAAATTGGTTATTTGTTAAAAACTCCTTGTCATTAAGTCTCTATCATGTTAAAAACTCCTTGTCATTAAGTCTCTATCATGTTATTTATGGCTTATTGTTGCACCTTCCAATTTGTTTTGCCGTTTCAACACCATGGAAAATGCACCATAAGTTGGTTATATGAAGTCCATTGGTGACGTAGAAGTTGAAAGGAATGCTCGAGGTTAAGAATCATGCACTGCATCATATCAATACCCTTGGCATCTAAGAGGAGATATAGTCTAAGAAGTTTATTCTTTGTTCGCTTGTGAGTTGAGTTTTAGAGGGGGAAAGGGGAAAACGTAAAATGACTCTTAAGCTTTCGATTTCTCTTATCCTTCAAAACTCAACTCACGACCCTTAATGATAGCATACTAGCATTGTGGTCTTCTTTGACGGTGTCCTCCATGTACTTGTTCTAGCAGTATGACATGAATGGATACAGCAGTAGCTATTTTATGGGGTTCAACAATAGCTGAGTAAGGTGAAGCCTAGTTTCTATACGATGAAAAATCATCCCAATCCACAAACCAAACTCTAAGGTAAAAGGAAAACACAATTTCTTAAAAAGACCAAAGATAAAACAAGCATGAAATTTTGAATTGATCGTAGAATCTATGATGTCTTCATGATAACAGAACCCTGCCGCATGAAACCTTATTTTGACATCTATAGAGAACAATGGTCCCATAAACCTAAACAACAAAATTTCAACAAAAAAAGAAAAAAAAACTAACAAAGGATTTCGCACAGTATTTTCTTGTTTTCCTCCTAACATGAAGTAAAATGTTCATGCCTATAACTTCATTCATTCTCTCTGAAGATGTCTATTATAATTTACCTCCCCACCAACTACACTCATCTACGGCCGCCGGCTTTCCTTGCAGGAGGAACAGTGTCCTCATCGTCAGACTGAATATCTCCATACAGCCATATCCCTTGTCTGCTGGTTCGGGCTTCTTCCTGGAACTTCTCCAAATTATCAAGGGCAAGCTGTCTTTCTCTTTTGTCGAACCTATTTCTTTTCTCAGTCCTAGCAACCCCATCCTGGAAATCCGACACGAAAACAAAATGGTTAAAGAAGTTACCTGTGTTTACTGTATGTGCATTCATCAAACAAGACTTTGAAAGCATTTCAAGCAAAGAGCAGAAATGAAAACCTGTAGCATCAGAGCATTAATGCTAATCTCAGAATCGACAGCAACAAGAGTCACTGCAAGAAATGTCCCCGTTCCCTGCCCTTTCACTTTTCCTCCTGAAGTATCTCTCTCCTCAACCTTGGCTCTGAACTCTTTTCCACTGTTCAAAGTGAGATCGCTCAAATATTCAGCTGCTTCGTGGCCAAAATCCTCTTCCAAGTTTGGAAGCTTTATGTATGCAAGGCTACACAATTGAGCAAGACCAGGTGCTGCAGACACAGATGGATCAAGAGGTCTTAACTGACTGTAAGCTACTTCTTCTTGATTACCATAATCTATGTAGAATACTTCAAATTTGTCTTTTGGTGATTCAACTGGTCCTCGAGGTGTATTGACAATCTACAAAATACAGCTATGAATTGTCAGTATAAGAAACAAAGAGATGTGGTATTACGTGGTAACTCACAAGGAAAAGGAGAAATTAAAGTATAAGAAACAAAGAGATGTGGTACCATGTGGTAACTCACAAGGAAAAGGAGAAATTAAAGTAATACAACAACCAAGCCTTAGTTCTACTAGGTAAGGTCGGCTTTGGTGAGACAAATAATCAACTAAAATATTAAGCATGGCATCAACTTTGATTGTAATCGTAGGAAATTGCAAAAACTGGCTTATAGGTAATAGATCCATAAAGTGATGGGACTACATAATTTCAGGCCTTGTTAAAAACTGGCATATAGGTAATAATGGGTCACTGACTCACCGTGACTCAATTCCACAATTGATATAGTTTTCACCAACCCATATTAAATGACATGTTTTCAACCATAGAATAGCAATGCCTACACCAATATTTAAGAAAAAATATTGTTGAACTTACCATAGCTCGGTACCAAGAGTTATCTGCGAGAAAATGACAAAGGACTATGTCACCCTTCTTAGGACTAAAAGCACCAAGCACAGGAGCTTCTTTAAGGTTCAAAGAAGCAAGCTGGTTCTGAATGGACGCTATCTTTTGATCCCCAACGGTCTGAACATAGAATTTACCACCACCCAAGACTTCTGTGACAATTACCTATGAATGAAGAACAAAGAGGAAAGTCGTTCACCATTTTCTAACACGAAACAAGGGTTATTAATGAGACAGTAGTATCCTAAGAACCTGGAGCACTTCTTCATGTTTATTCTGAACAGCTGGACCGTTGGATACTTCCACCCCTTCAACGAAGTTTTCCCAGATCTGCAAACAAATCACAATGGATTAATTATCAGGGAAAGATCAGTAGTAATGACAGGAAAATAACAGTAGTAGTGCCAAACAAAGCAGGGGATCCTGTTCTTACTTTCAGTTTTTGCTTCTTTGCAGATTCTTCGGCTTGTTGCAGGAGGTGAATATCCGGAATTCTATCATTGCCAAAGGAGGTTTGAAGTTTAGCCAGACCAGCTTCTAGTAGTGTAATTGCCACATTAGTCCTAGACTCCCATAACGACCCCAAGAATGTTCCAGTTCTATCTACCGTTTCAACCTCAATCTGCGAGCATAAAAAATATTAAATAAAAAACAAATGCAGCATACAGGAAACTTAAGTTCATAGAGGAAACAGAATTACCTCAACATCTCTCTGCATTATCTTTCGTCTCATCAATGCAATTGCTTGTTCAGAATATGGCTCACCACGACCAGGACATCTGACCCCAGAGAATGAGAAAGCAATGCTGCAAGTTTCCTTTGGAATCAACAATTTGAAACGATGGCCGCTGAGGACATATTCCACGACGGCAGAAGTTTTTCTACTTCGTTGCAGGAACGGCAAGAAGTCTTTGGCTTTCTTGGCTGATGCCTAATAAGAATAAATAGGAAACAATTGCACATTCGAGCTTATATTTAATAAGCTTCAAAGTAAAACAATATTTAGTATAATTTTACATTTTCTCACCGTGGTCAAGTCAGTTATATGACTTGCTGGAGAGTCCTTTCCGGAATGGATCAGTTTCCTTCCAGAAATGGCACGTGATTCGGCAGCAAGAAGAGCATCATAATAGTTTGATCTCTCTTCAAAGTCACGATGTCTGATGACAGTTCCGAAGCCACGGGAAACTACAAGCTCGCCTATATTCACCCCAGTCTGCTGAGTGCCAACAGGTGGAACAGATGAAGGGGCACCATCACCGTCACCCTTCCCAGGGGACGGCAGGAAGACTGATCCAAAATCCATTACTTTGGAATCAGCATTAGCTCCAGTTGGAACAGCAGATCCATCTGTGGGAACAATCTTTCTAGAATACTCCATTTGAACATTCACCTGCAAACAGGAGTAGTCAGATATAACTGAATCCATCAAAGATATAAAAGTAGGGTATCATAAGGTATTTTCCTACTTGACGACCAATGAGGCGAGCTCTTAAGAACTCCTTTGCTTCACGGGCATAAGGAGCTGGTTTCTCATCTCGCCGAGGATTGCCTATTTTTGGACACCTGATACTTGAAAGGTTAACTCGCCTTTCAGCTAGAGGACTGCCAAATGGAATGGAATCATCAGCAACAATGATGCAGTCTCCACTGACAACCTCAACCACCTGGAAAATTCAAGTTAAGATATTATATGCTTAAATGACTGAAGACTGAATATTTATTATAAACAAATGACTGAGAAATGTTTTACCTTGCCAGTAAAATTTTGGTCATGAATTGCCTTAGAATTTGAAGGTGGTGGTACATAGTTAGTCCAAACCCTTAGCCTTGTTTTCTTTGCCTGGAGCTCTGCAGTCTTCAGCCTTCGCTTTGCCTCTTCTTCCATCATATTTGCACTCCATTCAACATATCTAGCAAAACCCTGTTTGATTGAAACATCAAAAGGATTAAGTATATTTTATCAAGACCAGATGCAGAAAAACTTTCATAACCTCCCTCTAGAAACTGGGAAGAAAAACATTTTTGGCAAAACAGGGAGAGAAATCATGGAAATCAGACTCCAACTAAATTGCATATAATTATGATTGCCTGTAAGGACTATTGCGTTAGAAGTAAGATAAACAAGAACAAAAGACTAGAAGAAGACAACAATTGATAAAACATAAAACATTGTCAAATCGATACTTCAGGAAAATAGTGACAAATCTTTGAAGACAATATTCCACCAAAGCAAATAAAGGAATTGATGATTTCTTTGCAGGCTTCTTAGTTCTTACTTTTTAGTATGGACTACGAACCCAAAGCCAACAAGAATGGCAAGCACAATGTTCTCTTTTCAACTTCGTCTAGTTGGTTGGTAGTTAATAAAAGAATTTGTTGGAGCTTCAATACA